AAATAGACTCTACTGAAGTCAAACCTGGAATGTATGGTTATAAATATTTACTGGTTTTTATAGACACCTTTTCAGGATGGGTGAAAGCGTTTCCTACCAAACATGAGACTGCAAAAATGGTCACCAAGAAACTATTAAAAGAAATCTTTCCCAGATATGGGATGCCACAGGTAATAGAATCAGACAATGGGCCTGCCTTCATCTCCCAGGTAAGTCAGCTGGTGGCCAGGTTGCTGGGGATAAATTGGATACTACATTGTGCTTACAGACCCCAGAGTTTAGGACAGGTAAGAAAAAAAATAAATAAAACCATTAAGGAGGCTTTATCCAAATTAACGCTTGAAACTGGCTTTAAGGACTGGGTACAACTCCTACCTCTGGCCCTCTATTGGGCCAGAAACACTCCAGGCCCTCATGGCCTAACTCCCTTTGAAATACTATATGACAGTCCACCGCCAGCTGTATCATTCTTTGATGCTGACATTTCTGATTTTGCAAACACCCCTTCCATACAGGTGCATCTATGAGCCTTACAGATAGTCCAAGAAGAGGTCTGGAAACCTCTGGCAGCCGCATCCCGGGAGGAACAAAGAACCTCTTGTCAGCCCCACTCTTTCCAGATTGGCGATTCCTTCTGGGTTCGGAGACATCAGACTAAGAACTTAGAGCCCCACTGGAAGGGCCCCTACACTGTGCTCCTGACAACTCCCACCGCCCTGAAAGTAGACAGGATTGCTGCCTGGATGCATTTTAAATAGACTGGTACTGTTCAAAAATACACACACACACACACACACACACACACACACACTTGTCAGTTGTTCAGGCCCTAGTTTTGACCCAGCAGTACCAGCAATTAAAACAAATAAAAACTGAAAAACCATGAATAAAGGGTTTTATTCATTTTATAGAAAAAGGGGGGAATGAAAGACCCCCACTATGCTTATTGCCTGTTTAAATTGCTCTTGCTAATTTGCCAAGGTCAAACTATGAAAAAAGTACAGGAGGGAACCAGGTGCTGCTCTCATCCAACGCCAACCAGATATCTGTGGTCTGTAGCTTGGACCAAAGCAAGGTCAGCAGGACAGTGTCCAGTATGCTGAGATAGTCATAACTGAATTCTTTGTATTCTTTGTGCCCAACCCGAATAACCAACTGTCCTTGGTTAACTACAACTGCAACATTTAGATGAAACAATGAAATCCCTGTAACCATGCTTCTGCTTCTGTAAGCCTGCTTCTTGCCACCCCAACCCTATATAAACTGCCTGAGTTTTAACCTCAGCACGCTCAGTCCCCCCGAAAGACTGAAGCGTCCACAGGTACCTGTGTAAACAATAAACAACCTCTTGCACTTGCATCCAGTGGTCTGGTCTCGTCTCTTGGGGGCAAGGGCCTTCCCCCTGACAGGCTCCAAACTCTTGGGGTCTCTGGGGGTCTTTCAATATGGTACTAGGAAACAAACCTGGGGTCACGTGCATGCCGGGTAGACACTCCACCACCTGACCTTCCAATGAAATAGGTGGCAATGAGCCTTAAGCACAGTCCCCTGCAAAGCGAGGCCCCCTCTGGACCCACCAGCTGCACCTGTAACGAGGAACGTGCAGCCACCGTGCCTTGCTTCTTCCTCAAGTGATTGATTCATCACTGTTGAGGGCACGGGTGACCATGCCTCGCACAGAGCAAACAAACATGGTAAAGCCCTTGCAGATACGACCTCTACTCAGCCACATGCCTCTGCTCTCACCTTCCTCCCCTCCACTCTCTTTTCTTGGGGAGCAAAGAAAGGTATGAATGGGATGCTGAGAAAAGTCGGGGTCTCCCCTACCTGCAAGTTTTCTCTAGGTGTCACTCAACAAAACTGGGGTGTCTGCAAGGTTCCTTGAGGAGTTTCTTCTCCTATACGGTTTGTGGGACCCACACTCTTCAGCTGGCAGAGCAGGGCTTCTCTCATGCCCTACAGAGTGTGTCTGTAACTTCCCTGCCACCCCTGAACTTGAGCAGGGGCCCCTTTCTTCCCACTCCCTACCCTGACATTATTGCAGTTTTAATGGCTCCTGTGGAACAGGGTTAGCCAACTTCTGCACCTCTTGCTGATCCCCTGAAACTGACTCCGGAGCTGAGTGTGCAGCTCAGTCAGGACAGTGCTTGCTGTGTAAGCATGAGGATTTGTGTTTAACCCCAAGAACCCACATAGAAAAACTGGGTGTGGTGGTGCATGCTTGTAGTTCCTGCATTGAGGAGGTGGAGACAGGTGGTTTCCCTGGGGATCACTGGCCAAGCAGTCTAGCCAACGCAGCAAGTTCCAGGTAAAAGTGAGACAATTTGTCTTTAGAAAACAAGGTAGACAACATCCTGAAGAACGACACCCTAGCATGACCGCTGACCTCCACATGCATGCACAAACATGCACACCCACACAAACACACACACACACACACACACACACACACAGGAAACAATCTCCTTGACATGAGAAACTTTACCATCTATACAAACCACCTCTCCATTTTCTTAGTCCAGTGTAGCTTCCTCCACTCTCTATCTTCACATCATGCTACAGCCGCAGACCCCACACTGCCCCTTTCTTACTTGACCTTTGTAGTGAATGGGAAAGCAGGCTGGACAAGTGGCGAACAGCTGGAAAGCAATAAGGATGGACAGTAGAGGACAGAGAGATCTGCCCTGGTGACAGGCCTTCAGAAGGAGAGAGAATCAACCATGTTATATGCTGGAACCTACTGAAGAGAGTAGGGGATTCTGGGAGGATCGCCAGGCAGGTCTGAATGGTCTGCTGGGCTCCTGAGATGAGGACAGAAAACGCCAATGTCACTTCTGGGCCACCAGCTGCACCAAAAACATTTCTGCACATGTAGCCAAGAGGAGCATTTCAAAACAGGTATCTGTTTGTGTAGACCATCCCCACCCTACCTCCATACTCCAGACATCTAAGAGTCCCATCACTTGGGGTAGACCAGATAGCCCTTCAAACTCATCCCCACAGCAATTTCTCTCTATCTTCAGTTTGTCCCAACTCTACCCTTAGGCCACTAGATCTTCTTAAAGTACCAAATCTATCAAGTCTTTCTGGTCCAGGGCCATTTGCACATGAACAGCTTGGAATCCAGTCTCACTTGCTCCTGGGTTCCTGGCCCAGTCATATGCTACCTGGGGAACACCTTCCCAGACCATCCTGTTTCTATTAAACTGTCCTACCATCAGCTCTCCACTGAGAAGTTTTTCTTCAAAGCAACTGTCACAATGGTGAATTTTTTGTTTGTTTTATTTTTGTCTTGTTCTCACTCAATGACTATTTGTCCTACTAGGCTCTAAGCTCTGGTGTCTATGCCTCACATAACAGGAGTTCAGTGAATATTTGCTGAGCAAACAGATGAGGTAACCAAGATCTATGTACGCCAGAAGATTAAGGGCAAGGTAGGGAGGAGAAAGGAGGGGATGAGAGAAGAGAGGAACAGAAAGGAGAGAGGAGGAAAAGGCTTGCAAGAGCCCTGTGGGCATGTAGAGCTAAGTCTGTAAGTGATGATTCAATTAGCCACAAGGCTTTCTTGGATGAAATATTATAAATTCTTCCTGGGAACTCTAAAACCAGCCCATAATACTCTGCCCTCCTGATTCAGCCATCTTCAAACCTCAAGCCAGATCCATCTTGACTCAAACCAATACTTAAGGCTCAATATCCATAAATATATACATATTAAAACTATATATCTATTTCAGAGTTCATATATATACTTATATATATTTCTGATTATATATAAATATATTCATATATATATATATATATATATGAATATATTTATATCAGAAAAACTAAGTCCAGAGTTCAGTTCTCTCAGTCTTTAAAGAATCTTTGTAACCTCAAAGTACCCCTAAAGTGTGGACTATGGGAGGCATATTAGCTCCAAGCTCAGTTCCTAAACTGTTCTCAGACAGGGTTTTCCTCTTCACTCTACTGAGCAATGTCCTGCAGGTTACTTCTCCCTGTGTGCTGTTAGACCTTTGCCTCTGGACTCCTCAGCCAGGAGCTCCTAGGCTTCACTTGCAAATACACCCAAAAGTGGAATTTCACAAACCTGCCCATTAACACTGTCACAGGCAGGCTTTTAAAGCTCAGCATCTACCCACCCAGAATGGACAGCACATCCTTCTGAACACGGCCACCCGCACGGTTAGTAGAACTGTGGACATTTGGGGAGAGGAGGGACAGAAAGAGCTATTCATTCATTGGGTGTTCTTGTCTCCAAAGCGATGACAAGGATGGCTCAGATTGTGACAAGACGTTCAAGGTACCTGCAAATGTCCCTGCCTTACTTCTGCTCTTCTATTACAGCAAGCCTTCGAGTTGCCATACTAGAAACAGAGAAATGAGAAGCCAGGTCTCAGAGGAGTCAAGGAGTCAAGACGTAATTAACCCAAACTGGGTCCACAGACTCTGGGGACTGGGAGACCTTCGGAGTCAGCTCAGCCCACTCTAATGGGCCTTGGATCCTCAGGAATCTACCCCAGCTGATGTCCTGAAGGACTTCTATTGGCAAGGCTGTGGTCAGAAAAGAAGTACCACATTTATGAGGCTTGGGATCACACCACAGACATCACAAAAGTCAAGAAGACACAGACAGGAGACACCCGAGCCAGGCTCTCTTTAAAAGACACAAAGAGACTGAAGAGAGGAGAAGAAGCAAGCGGGAAAGACATCTCAAAAAGCGAAACAATTAATGAGACAACCTCAGGTACTGAATAGGTAAGGGAAAGTCCTAATGGGGGCCGTGTTGGGGGTCGGGGCACCAAGGGGACCTTCTTGGGGTAGAGTTACAACAGGAATGAAAGCTCCTGAAGGGGTGGCCGTGAGACAGAGATGCAGGGGAGTGCCTGAGGAGGACCAACGATAGCCTACCCTGCTGCTGTATCTTCTGCTCACCCTTCCTCCCTCCTGCCCTGCTTTTGAAGTCTGCAAACGGTCTACGCACACACTAAACCTACCTGTCAGCCCAGCCAGGATGACCAGCACAGCCAGGACACCTCCCCAGCTTCCCTCCATCTCAGCATGATCTTCCTTACCTGAAAGATGAGGAAGGAGCAGGTGATGTTTAAAGCCAAAAGGATCTACCATGCTGCTCAGACACTTTGGACACCTCTGGGGAGTCGCCTTCTAGGCAGGCAGTATTCCCTCAGAAGATGCGTTCGGGGCTCATCACAGAGCCACGGGTGGGAAACTGAGCCTGGACCCATCACTGTGTTCACACAGACCACACACACACACACACACACACACACACACACACACACAAGAACGCTGATGTAGCTCACTTTAGAGAACCCCTGAAGCACACTGCCTGGCTTTAAGCCCACGTATGGCTGACATGTCCGGCAGGACAACCCGTCTCGGAGTTCCTGGCCAAAGAGCACGGTGTTGTTATCTACTCTTCATTTCTATGCCCTGTCCATCATGAGCTCACAACCTCATGAGGGAAGGATTGTAGAGGCAATTAGAAGGCAGTGAGGCACGGGAATGGAGATAGAATCGGAAGGATACAGGGCACCGGTGTTAGCCATCACTTCGAGCAGGCAGTCATGGATGGGCTCCTGGCAGCATCCATGGGCATGTTAGCAGAGCAGCAGAGGAAATGGCAGATGCAAAGGGCCTGGGGTGGAACCATGCTGGGCATGTTTGAGGAACTACAGAGAGGGTTCCGTGCGGAGCGAGGGCAGAGTGGCAAGGGTAAGGTCATTCTCATGGAGGCTGAGGCAGACGCAGTGAGCTCTGTCGGACACTTGGCCTTGGGTCCACCCTCCTTCCGACCCCTGCTTCTTTGATGACTTCATGCTCACCCCCCCCCCATCCTTCAGTTTTTTCTTCCTGTTCTCCCTTCTCAGGGCACAGTGGGTCCCCCTGGAGAGCTTGGCGCTGACTTGCTGCACACTGAATCGAATCATCGTGAGCCATCTGCAGAAGCAACTGTCACTACCTAAATTCTTTTCCAGCACTCAACTGCAGAGCACAGACATGGGAGGTAAGTTTCCACTGTGGCCTCCTGCAGACACCACACCCTCCTGACGCCTGGTCTCTCTGAGCCGAGCAGTGCTGCATCCCTGCAGGACTCTGGTGGTGGGATTGTGTAACATGCAGATACACCTGCCCAGTCCTCTGCTCTCCTTTCTTCTCTGCTGGGCCCAGAAGCACCACAGCCAGCACAGAGTCCAAACTGGCAGAGGAAATGACTACCACCTCTCAGGCTATGCATACCTCAGAAATGAGAGTCAGAGTTTCATTCCGGGGCAGCTCAAAGATGCTGAGGCCTGGGACTCAGCCTTTATACCTAAACTCATCCCCAGGTACCCCGGCTCAGGAGAGGGGGTTAGGATGGGGTTTTACCCCTTTGTCTCTCTGATGTCTTTCAAACCTCCACACGTGCACTGAGCTTTAACTACCCACGTTCCTACCTTACTTAGGGTAGAAACACCTCCACTAAGGTAGTGTTCCACTGTGGGCAGGAAGCACTAGTCAGAACTCAAGAATGTTCTTCCTCCACAGGGTCACCTGGCAGCCACGCTGCTGCTGCTGAAGTCTCAACCTTCTGAGACTGAGCCCTGAGCCCAGATCCAGTCTTACAAAGTGGATGACCAAATCATCTGCTGATTTTCAAGCTCAATTAACACAAGTTCGCAAGGGAATTGCTCTATCAGTCACCTGGAATGCTCGGCCGACCGGCAGAAGAGGAAAACTGAGCTGCCCAGTTCTGGAAACTGCACGTTCTGTTGTTGTTTTGGTTTTGGTTGGTTGATTTGTTTTGTTTTGTTTTAGGATAGGGTCTTGTGTAGCCCAGGCTGGACTCAGAGACACTATGGGACAAAGGATGTTCTCTGGCTCCTGACCCTCCTCTCCTACCTCCATCTCCCAAGTGCTGAGATTACAGGTATGTGCCACTATTCCCAGCCTGATGGTTGGATGTTTTACTGAGAGCCACTGATCATTACTGAGACTGCAGTGAGGGGTGAGCAAAGGTCATGAGGAAATGCTCCAACCACTGATAAATGAGGCAGGTCAGCTACAGAGTAAGGGCACATCCTTCAACCCAGGAAGAACTCGGGAGCTTCCTCTTTGCCAGTGTCACTCTGTCTGTCCCATAGACCAGCCATCTCAGCTGCCCCTTAGCTGTCCCAGGCCAGCAGCAGAATCCAGGAGCCAGCAGTGAGACCATTGTACCAGGACGTGATACCTGTGTGCCTCCAGTGACACCATCAAAAATGGGCATTTCCCGGGGCAGCCAAAATCACGTGTATAATTAAATATGGACTTAGAACAGAAATCCTTAGCTAAAACCTTTGTGGGGGCGGTTACCTAAATGCTGTGGGATATTATTTTAAGATGTGTCACGATCGCTTTTTTAAAATATGATGCAAAGATGAGCTGCATTTGTTTAACTCTGTAAAGCTGTGTTATTTTGCCTGTCTAAAACACCTGATTGGTGTCGTAAAGAGCTGGACAGCCAATAGCCAGGCAGGAGAGGGAGAGGCAGAGCTGCCAGGCAGAGAGAATAAAGAGAGGAAAGAGAAGAGAGGGAGGAATGAGAAAAGGAGAAGTTATGGACACACCAGGCACCCAGCCACTGAGCCACACAGCCAGGTACGTGGTAAGAAGAACAGTATATTGAATAAAGAAAGGTAAAAGCCCAGAGGCAAAAGGCAGATGGGATAATTTAACAAGAAAAGCTGGCTAGAAGCAAGCCAAGCTAAAGCTGGGCATTCATAAGTAAGAATAAGTCTCCGTGTATTTATCTGAGAACTGAGCAGCAGGTCCCCAAAAGAGCAAAATAAAAAACAAAAAAACAAAACAAAACAAAAAAAAAAAAAAAAAAAAACAAAAACAAAAAAAAACGTCCAAACGTGAGATTCAACTTCTCGTTGATTTTCCTGAAGAAAGCTTTGAAGGACCTACTTTTAGTTAAAAAGAAAACAAACTGCCATCTTTTCAAAAACTTAAGTCTTGTTAAATTTTGTTAACATCCTACCCGCTGCTCACTGGCCTGACAAGTTGGGAGGGAAAAACACTCTGAAAACCTGACAGGTCTCCCGAGTAGCTTGAAATAAAGACCACGAATCTGCTGTCTCATAACGTATGCTCCTTGTCCCTGAGCTGCTGAAAACGTGCAGAAGGTCTCAACATCGCTGTTTCGGGCAGAGCAGTCTCCGGAATAGCAGAATTGGTTGGCGGAAAGCTGAGCAAGAGGCTTCCTCCGCCTGACCTCCTGTGCAAAGATGCCCAGCATTTCTGACGCACTTTGGAGCCTGCCACTGTGCACCTGCATGCTGAACGGCTTCCTTGATGCAATGTCCCTCCTCCCCGGGGGTCTTGCACCTCACTGGGCGCCTGCCCCATCACTGACAGGGGCCTGTCTCTTCACTGGGGCCCTGCCCGCCTTCCCTCGTGGCCTGCCCCCTCAGAACTCCAATGGCACCCCCATGAAGATACTCATCAGGGGAGATGTCAAATCTGCAAGCTTGTCCAAGCTTGCGACTCTGAGACAGACAGACCCTCCTCTGAATTCCACCAGAGCCCTGGCGTGTCCCCTGAACAACTACGTGCGTGAGGGAGGCTCATTGATAAATTACTGGGATTTTTTTTTTTTGAACCCTGAGAGCAACCACCCTGTTTAATTTTCAACCCAGTGGAACTGTAAGGCAAACACTCTGGGCATTTTTTGTGGGGAGCCCCACCAATGGTCTACCAGGCACCCACAGAGCCCTGAGAAGAAACCCGCCTGAAAAAGGCTCGATCCAGGAGAGCCGCGCTGGCACTGGCCTCGCCTCCCTTACCTCAAGCAGGTAAATCTCTGTATTCCATTCCCACGGGGCTTCCTGGTTGTTGACTGCACTCCTTGCAAACACAGGAACACTTGTGAGTGGACACTCCTGAGCCGGTAACAGGAAGGAAGTGACCCTGTCCTGTCTGTCAGTGGCCCAGGCTACCAATGCGGAGGGTGCAGAATGGTGTGCGCGCCCCTAGCTGCGGGGACATTCCCTGTTAACCATTAGCCAGTCCAAACACAGGAAGTCCTGGCCCAGGCTCACACACAGAGGCGGAGCGTCCACTCTTCCTCTGTGGAGCCTTTTCCGGCCCTTCGGGGTCGGGTCACGGCTGCCCATATCCACGTTCTGTTCTGTCGTCCTTTGCCACCAGCTGGAATCTGACAGGCTCATACAGCCCCAAAGGCTGAGCCAAAATACATTGGCCTGGCCATCCACCTGCCTCTAGTCCAAGGTCTGGTGAAACCGGTTCCTTCCCCTGAGCAACCAGGACAGCCAGAGAAGCAAAGCCCTAGGGGGTGGGTGAGCTGGGCCTGACAGCCTTTAGGAGTATGAGCTGAGGTTCCTGGAGAAAGTTTCCCCTTGCAGATTGACAGGCAGAGTAGGAATCCTTGGTTGTGGGGAGTGAGCATGTTACAGATCAAAACCTAACTTATTTTGGGCTACCTTTAGTTCCCTTGGTAACCATTCATCACCCATCTCTGTGTCTGTAACATCCTTTTGGCTTATCAAGTTTAAAAAAAAAAGCCTTTGGAATTGGAGTTATTAACTTAGTAGACCATTGCTTCCACCAAACTAAGACTGGGATTGTTGTCAGATAGGACCTGAAACCTGTAACAGAGACTTCAGGGTCAACGGTACCATGCCTTCCCAGTGTCCCACCGATGTGTCTGACTGACTCATTGGCTGCCTTTTGTTCTTCGATCTAAAAAAAAAAAAAGTTCATGTGGCCGCTTCCACTATAGAACCTTCCATTCTGGGACTCACATTTGGCTCAGAATAAACTATCCATCCCCTACTCACTCTGGACCTAGAGATGTCTTTTCCCATGGATCACATTCTCCTGGAGCATTTGTCCACTCTACAGCCCCTATATGACCTCTTTCTACTCCGCCGAGACGCCCCCTCTTCAAGAAAACTCTACCTAGGGATCTCTAACAATGTGTCTCGGAAGGTCTGCTGCCCTGCGGCATTGTGTGTGTGTGTGTGTGTGTGTGTGTGTGTGTGTGTGTGTGTGTTTGGGAGATTTGCATCTTTTCTAAGTCTGAGCACAAAGAGAAACTTTAGTGATATTTTCAGCCCTTGCTATTTTTAAATTCACAAAGTTCAGATCTGCATAACGCATATTCATGAGGCATGAGGCTATTCCGATGTTGGGGAGGCTCTGAAGGAAAGTCAGGAGTAAAGGGAAGCCCAGGGAAGCCCCAGGAAGCCAGGACTGAGTTTAGATGGTCAGAGAAGGAAGCTGGACTGAGGATACAACTAGTCAGTCCTGGGGTGGAGGGACAAATGTGCACCAGGCAGCATGTAAGGAAGCCAGGGCCTCTGTGGAACCTGGAGAGGTTAGAAGGCCCCAACTGTGAAGAGGCAGAGGTGGGGTGGGCTTAGATGTACCCACAGAAGGTTCCAGAAGGCCTAGCCAGGCTTGTTTCTATATTTGGCTATACAGAGGCACAGAGGGCAAAGCTTTGCATCGGTACTGGAGTGTAGGGGCATCTGAGTTCTTAGGAAGAGCTGTGGGACAGCGACCATGTCTAAAATAGCAAGGGCAACAAGCATTCTTCAAACTCCGGGTGATTCTGCTCCAGATCACGCCAGCTCCCTCATTAAGTGGTGCGTTAAATAAAATCTTCAACACGTGTCACTCCAGACTTTCAAGACAACCTTCTTTTTTTTTTTTTTTTTTTAACATTTTTTAAAGTGTATGAGTGTTTGCCTGCATGTCTGTATGTGAACTATATTCCTGCATTCTCTACAGAGGCCAGAAGAAGGAGCCAGTTCCCCAGGGCAGGAATTTATGGATGGTTGCAAGCTGCCTTGAGAATGCTGGGAACCAAACCCAGGTCCTCTACAAGAGTAGTAAGTGTTCTTAACCCCTGAGCTATCAGATTCAACTTCACATGAAGAAGAAAGTGAAAACCCACGGTGAGCTCACCATCCCACATAAATAAGCACCGTGAATTTTTAATGAGAAGCTGTAATTATTTTCCTTATTAAAGATCTGATACGTGTTTACTGTAGAAAATAAGAAAAGAGCCAGACAGTGGTGGCTCACACTTTAATTCCAGCACTCAGGAGGCCGAGGCAGGTGGATCTCTGTGAGTTCAAGGCCAGGATGGCTGGGGTACACAGAGGAAAACTGTCTTGAAAAAAACAAAACAAAAAACAAAAGAAAATAAGGAAAGCGAAAAGGAGAAAATGTCTTTTTAATTTCTTATAGTGTTTGTGGTATGGTGCATGTATATATGCGTTATGGTGTGTGTGTGTGTGAGATTGTGATGTGTGTGTGATGTGTGTGGTCTGTATGTGATGTGTGTGATGTATGTGTGTCTGTGTGTGTGTTTGTGTGTGTGATGTGTGTGTCTGTGTGTGTATGTGTGTGTATGTGTATGTGTGATGTGTATGTGTGATTGTGTGTCTGTGTGTATGTAGTGTGTGTGTGTGTGTGTGTGTGTGTGTGTGTGTGTAGACAATTTGCAGGAGTCATTTCTCTGCATCTACCACATGGGTTCTGAGGCTTGAACTCAAGTTCTTGGGTTTATCAGAAGCCCCTGAGCCATATCACTGACCCAAAAAGGAGGAAATTTTTGAAACAGAATATAAGACCACCACACCTGACAAGCACTATGAACAGTCTGTCATATTTTTTTTAAATATGTAATGTTTTAAAATGTAATGGTGTAGTGATTTAGTAACCAGATCCTAACCCTTTGCTATATTATAATCCAGGAGCAGAAGAGATGCCTCAGCAGTTAGCACTGACTGCTCTTCCAGAGGACCCAGGTACCCAGGTTCAGTTCCCGGCAGCTCACGAATGCAAAGGGGATCTGATGCCCACCCTTTCCTTTACTATTTCCAAATAGATTCTAACTTGCCCAAGCTGGCTGAAACTCATCCTGTAGTCCAGGCCAGACCTTGGACTTGGATGCTTCCAGCCTCAGCCAGTTGAGTAGCTGGAATTACAGGTATGCACTGGCCAGGCCCAAGTGTGTTGTTCTTAACGATTGAGCGTACCCTGCCCTCTAGAGGCCGCAAGGCTAGTTGCATGTGAAATAGGTTTCAGCCACTGACCTTTTTGTGAGCTGATGTCATAGGAGAGTTCTAACACTCACCACACCCAGGGCATGGAGATTTTAATCTGTGTGAGTGATGAGTGAATCAGAGAGGAAGGTTCACGGAATGATTTCTGCATAGAAAATGCAGTTGATGCTATAAAGTTGATAGAAAGCTCAGTAGTTGGCAGGAGTAGGGCGAGAGCTGTGTCAGCAAGCATGCAATTTGAATGCATGTCACAGTACAGGTGTTTGCCCAAACCCAGAGTGTCCACCGTGCAGAAAACAAGGTGAGTATGAAAGGCAATGCATTCACCGTCAACACACAGGCCCACTGTTCAGAGGGCAGTGGTAAGAACTGCACATGGAGAGGGCCAGGGTCTATGACTCTTGGTGTCCTCTGCTCAATTTGACTGTGAACATAAAGCCGCTCTAAAACGTAAAGTTTGTTACCATGTATAAGGAGCAAACAGACTTCTTTCCCTTAATCCTCCAGGTATTTGGTAGCCACACCTGCCATCCAGCCTTCAGGGTCAAGACTAAACACACCTGAGCCCAAGTCTGTTGTTAAAGATGTCTGCTACCAAGGCAGAAACATCCCTTAGCAGCCAAGCTACAGACTTACAGGTGTAAGGACAGTTTTGAACTCTCTGATATTGAGGCAAGATGAAATAGACCCCTCGTTATGGACCCCGACGGCTAGCCTCACACTAACTTTGTAGCCAAGACTGACCTTGCTCCTCCATCTCTCCACCCAGCTCTTATGTGGTTTGAGCACAGGCTTCAAGCTCGCTAGGCAAGCACTCTACTAACTGAGCCACAGCCCTAAAATTGATTTTTTTTTCATAAATCACTGTGAGGTCTGCAGTATTAGCAAATGGCCTGGTCCTTGGCAGACACTGCTGATTTAAGAAGCAGCACTTGCCATCCTTTCCACCAGCAGTCCTGGACCACTAACAACATCCACTACCAGTCCTGGACCGCTAATATACCCATGTAGCCACAAGTTATGCATACGCTTCTGTTTTCTCATGGCATTATTTTTTGAGTAGCTAACTAGCATTTCTGTTTTATGAATATAGCAATTGCCATTTAAAAACCAGTATGTCCTCCTATATAGTATATGGAAAAGTATAGTTGTTTAATTAAAATATTTCTAATAGTTAAGATGTAGGCACAGTTGAATGCTTTAGAATAGTGTTTTTTAAATGACTATTAAAACCATTGTTCTATACCATTAAAAACTACTCACAAACACCGTTTTAATGGCACCATAATATTATGTGACATGGTCACAATGACATTATAATGTATCACAGGGACTATAGGAACACCCATATGGTTCAGCATTGTGCTGTTCCCAGTTTCCAAAAACTAACACTGAGATGGGTGTGTATATATTAACAAGGTGGGGGCTTCATTTTTGTGGGTTTTTTCTTTATTTTGCATTTGCATTTAATTAGAGCCATATGTCAAAACACCGGGGATAGAATTAATTTCCTTCCCAGCCCAGTTCCAGACCCACCTGAGTGGTTTGAGGTGGTTCATCCCATTGCACCCTTGGCAGAGCTACTGGCATTATTTTTTCTGAGTGTGGCATACCCAGTACCAGGCTCATAAATCCTCCTATAGCCGTAAGTTTTAAGAACGCCCTCTGCCCACACCTGGGAGGACCATAGACCAAGGCTGTGTGGCCTTGGGATTGCAAACGCTGCATCCTCCCTTGAGAAGCTTGGTCTTTAATGGATGCGCCACCGTTAGCATCAACCTCGTCACCAGGGGCATAACCAGCGCCGTTGGTGGCAAGCAACAGAAAATTCCATCTACTCCAGCACCACCAATCTTGGTGGCTGCAGAAACGAACAGTCTGTCAACAAAGTAGCCTAGGAAGGAACAATAGGCGAGTCCTCTAGAGTAACAGGCCGACAGGACACGTATGTATATATAGGGCTTTCTTTGTTGAATGATAGGAGTTGGGAAGTACAGCAATGGC